CCAGCTGGAAAAAAGGGACTATAATGCCAGCCATAATGCTAGCATTACCCGCCCATGCCTAGTCATAGCACATACATGTACAATGTACTTACCTTCACACCAAGACTTAGTACCAGTACCGCAGCTCCAGAACCCCCTTTTTCTCTCCACGGTCATCGGGATGCATTGCACTGCAGTGTCTTGACGCATGATGCCTGCGATCTGCCCCTTCCCAACATCCGCAGTACTTCGAGATCTCACAGACCAGTATTTGCTGCTGCTAAGTAAGTTGTAGAATCGTCCCCCCCCCCCACTTTAACGCTATTGAAAGCGTCTATTGAAAGTATACTCTCATGGCTAATGCTAGGATGTTCTCTATCCCGAGAGATCTCCAGACTTACTGTTTTCTTTACTCCACCTATCCAGGTTTTCCTATCTTTTAAGTTTTATCCCTTTGGGCATGATTGTCCGTTTGATTTGCAATGTACTGTAGCGTTGGCACGCTGGTAACATAATTATATGTACACAGCTGCAGCGTGAATCACTTTCAATAAATATTGGTCACGCGTGTTGCACCGCACCCGTACCCCGCACTTGCAACTCTTGTACCGTGCTTGCAGACCCATGTCCATGACATGCATACTAGCAAGAGTAGATAAACAAGAGTGTGCAACTGCCTGCACAACCTCTATGCTGTGCTGCGACGGCAGAACTTCACATCACGTGACATGGTTCAAAAGGTTATGCTGGCAAACAGTGCAAAGTGACCACAAGAGTTTATCTACTCTTGATACTAGTAGTAACTAGTCCAACTGCGTTCAATGGTTCATATCAGGGAGTAGTACAATACATATAATTATATTGTACTACTCCCTGGTTCATATTGAAGCCGAGGCGGTATGCTTGCTGAGCTTGATTTGCTCCACTGACATTGCCAACATGCTTGGCCACTACCATTACGATTGTCCCTGCTTCATTTTCCTTCTGCGCCATACAGGTACATCATTGTAGGTTTGTGTTCGGTTAAACAAATTAAAATAAAACGAAAATCATGAATACAATAATGATTCTTAAAAAGGCTGTTTGTGGCCACAGCCAGTGGCTCCTACGGCACAGATGGAGGTGGACAATGTACTGGAAAGCGTTGGTTGTGTTCGGGAGGTTGCCTGAGGTCGAAGAAGTGAGTGCTTTACTCTTCCGCTTGCTGTAGGCTGTCTGCGTGAGCTCGTCCGTCTGACTGTTATTTATTAGCCTCGATCAATTACAGCTACCATTCCCGCCTCCAGAGTCTGTGACCGTCACTTGCTTTTTTTATTTATTTTTATACGGCTGTAAATACAGTATAATGTAAATAATTTAATTGTACTTCCAAACTGTCACTTGTCAGTGCTCTTCTACGTGTACGTGGTCACTTTACATTAAATTTTGTTAAATTTATTACCAGCATACAATTGTGGTACACTTGCCTGTTGCCTCAGGCCATGCTGCTGCTGCTATGCCTGGGCGGATAATGCTAATGGCAATGCCAGAAGAACTGTACCAAAATGCTACTTATAATACTGCTGTTCCTCTGTAATGCCAGCAATTCACCAGTAGTATGTATGTATGTATAACTCATAATCACAAGGTGATCGTAGAGGCATTAATCAGCGAGAGAATTGTGAATGATGTCTCTGAATCCAACTCTATCGTGTGCTGCATGAGAGAGAGCATGCAAGGGAAGACCCGTCCAACTTTTAATGTTAGAAATCCATGATGTCGCGGGCCTTCTTCTCGGTCGAGATCCAGGAGTTGATCCTTGCAGGAAGGGCTAGCTTGGAGAAAACGTCATGTCTCGTAACATGGCCAAACCACATCAACATAAATTTCTTGACTTCGTTCGCTAGCCGCATCCTTGCTCCGATGATGTCATTGATTTCACCAATAGTAAGTATGGAAAAATGGCTTGGTTTGGGCAGTGTTGTGTACGTTTCGTAGTTCTACGTAGACGGCATGGAAAATGCTAGAAAATCATGATCATAATGCTAATTTTATGCTGCTATTGCTCCATAATGCCAGCAAAACCGCAATAGTATGCATGGAAAATGGCTTAGTTTGGACAATCCTATGCAGGTTGTGCAGTTCTATGTACAAGGCATGTAACGGTCCATTTTTTGTTGTGGCCAAAACTTCCATATTTGAGTATAATGCCACTTTTGTGGTAATGTAGTGTTGCTAGCATAATGCTCGTTGGAAATCGCACACTATAATGCTACTTATATTGCTAGCATTATCCGCCCAGGCCTGGCTGCTGCTGCTCTCAAAACCTACCAACGATCGATTTGGTGTCAGCGCTTTAAGACTTGTGTGACTACATTTGCCGCCATCTCACAGTCTGCCAAGTGCACCTACCGTCAGCTGAGTTTCGAGCATCAATCTGGTTCGTTCTGCTGATATTTGCCAACAGACGATGGCACTTGTTGGCGATTCACCAGGAAGAAAGGAAAAACAACGTTTTATTAACTTTTGAAAAGTACACCAGGAACCCAACTCTTCACACCTTTTAAAGGCAATCAGCCTGTAGTGTAGCGTTACACACGCCTTCGAACCATCACGCTGTGACGTGGCGCTGTCACATGTACTCCCTGGCCGCTTCTAGTGGCTACCAGCTCGATGTTTTTTTTGTTTTTTTTTACAAAGACCACTTTTAAATGCCAAACATGAGCTGCAGCTAGGGGAAGCACGCACTAACTGAATCGTGGCAGTATGTGTGTTTACACCCGCGCCGTACAGCTGTGGATACCAGCTGGATGTGTTTACGCCCGCGCCGTACAGCTGTGGACTATACCGTTTTCTTCGGTGGTGGTGGCGCGCGGGCTGTGGCCAGTGTTGGGCTGGTCTCATACTTTACAGAACATGTAGTCAGTTGCCTCACGATCGTTCTACGACTGGTGAGTATGACTATGAGCAAAACGCAGTGTAGTCTCCTCTCTTGTGTGTTCGTACGTGGCAACTACTGCAGACAACACGTCACAAGAATTGCAGGTCCCTGTTTTTCAGCGTTTGCCGAACAATAATACCAACGTGACATTGGCAAGGCAAACCCTCTCCGGCTTTCGACCTAGCTGTTGCGTCAAGGTTCCTAGTTTCTCCATTGTCCAGTAGGTTGCAGTGAATTGTTTTTCATGATCCATTGCTTCTTGCCTCCCCGGTTAATTTCCATCTAGCTGTTTCTGGCTAGTATCAGTTCTATCACAGTTCTGTCACGCCATCGTGGAATAAAAGAATAACAATGAAGGTGAACTTGAAAAGTCTTTTCAGTATGTTACTTGACAGCCATGATGCATGCTGGTGATCGTGACAGTGGAGGTGCTGCTCTCTGATACCGTGGGTAAATCATTAGTGATCTGCGGCAGGGGATGCGTGGAAAGGCATATCCGAACCTGGATGGAAGGAGCCACGACGATTGAATCGCAAGTAGCAGCAGCAGCAGCTGGAGAAGCTCAGGTAGCCCCTCCCCGTCTTGGTAGCTTCCCTGCAAACTCGTTGGCCACTACAGTGGCGTCTGCTCCGAACACGACTCCAAGTGCCAGTTTGCCGACTTCACAACCAAGCACACTTCCAACGACCAAGCTCGTATACGCATTCCCACAGGACTGTGCGTTGACAGTTCTTCTTCTCAGAATAGCTGCTGCTGCGCTGTACAGAAAGTGCCTGACAGGCAACTCACGCCGGACCTGAACACAGTACCTGACGAAAATGCACTGATATCCCGTCTCAAGGTGACCGGCATCAAGGAAGGTGGCTGGTCAATGACATCTTCAGAACCTTGTGGTCACTATGATTGCTGAAAGCGGGAAACACTGGGTTACAGCATTAAAAAAATTAAAAAAGTTACAGCATAAACGCCTTGGTTCCTTCGTCTCATGTGTATGTAGTAGTTTTGTGTGTATGGACTAATGGTTTAACCAGAGGAACAGTGAGTTTAAATCATCGTGAGCATGTCCGCGTCTTATCTCCCATATACAACGGAAGGTATTAAGAGGTTTTGTTAGGAAAGAAAAAGAACTAAGGAACTACAAGTACATGTATACGTTACGCTATACGCTTTCCTTTAAATTATTCCTTGGCTCTCCGTCCGAAGGTAAGAGTCCCTGATATTAGGGAGGTTTAGTTCCCACGTAACGGAAACGCGTACTTGGGTGATCCACGTAAAGTGGATGAAGGGCACCCACGTTGCAATGTTGTGTTTAGTCACACGGAACAAACAAAAGCATGAAGCGAAAGGCCCAAACCTGGTCAAAGACGAAGCTACCCGGGCCAAAGAAGCTCATCCAATATTTTGATTTCGTGCTTCGGAAACTTCTTCAGCTGAGCACCCTCACAGCTCGCACAATGCGCTCTATTCTGATTTTCACCCACGTTCTGGCGGAACGCGATAACGTGGGTGAGCCTCCATACACGGTATGTCGTGAATCAGAAAACGTCTGTACGTGGGTCACTGAGTATCACGTGGTACACACACGTAAAGTACCCACGGATTACGTGGGACTAAACCTCCCTAATAATAATCCGTTCTTTCACGTGTGTGTTACGAAATCAGTCTATCAGTTCTGGGACATACCGGTACATGTAGCCCTGTAGGCTGCACGCCGTGTTCCGTGTTGAAAAGACGCATGAGGGTGGCTGAATTCTCCAGGCCATTGTTGACTGCGGTAGGCAGCGTTTACGTTGTCTAACTAGGCAATACTGTTACTTCACAACAACAACTAAAATACGCCTGTACCTTTTTGTTTTGATTTATTTGAATTCAGTATCTCAACAGTACAAGGTACAACTTAGGAAGATGGTACGCTTTCCAACGGCAAAAGAGAGTTGGAAAGCTTGTGTCTTTGTGGGTAACTTGAACATTTGGGCTCATGTAAAATCGTACTGATTTTGCCAACTAGCTCACAGCAGAAACTTCTGTGTGTGTGTGTTATTGTCGTGAAAGTGGACCACAAAGACCCAAATGACAATACAGTTGAACATCGATTATCCGCACATCGACTATCCGACCATTCGATTATCCGTAACAGTTTTTTTGGGCTCACGTGCCGTAGAGAACGCACTGTGCATGTAGTGAGCCATTCAAAAAATACGAAAATTTGAAAAGTAAAAAGGTCGTGCGGCTAGTAATAACCACTGAAAGTGTGCGAGTGACAGTTTTTTTCTTATGCGGAACATTTGCCTTATCTGAACACCGCCTGACAGTTGTCTGCCCAGAGGTGGTCGGATAATCGATGTTCAACTGTATACATAAACATAAAAGTGGGATATGAATGTACTGTTATGCGTGCTACAGTTAATCATTTTATCGCAAGTTGCGGGACTAAACTAATAAGCAAGTACACAAGAAATATAACCTGAATAAATACGACTGCATGACATTGGATAAAAGCACCAAAATAAAGCGACACATCACTCATTGAAACAATTTTCAAAAGGGAGCCGTTTTAACTGGGTACATTGTGCTTGCGCGCGCTGTCAATCCATTCACTGCGTCACTTTGCCTCCGAAGCTCCACACGCAGACGAGTATAGAGCGCATGTTGCTTCTTCTCCACCAGTTTATACTCGAGTTTATTCAAACCATCTGATTTCACATAAGAATATGCACTTTGCAGTAACTTAAACCGTTGCGGGTTAGGTGCGGAAGACTGAAAGTGGTCACGTTTGATTGTAGCATATCGACCACCAGGTGATGGCGGTTGGTTAAACTTGTAACCGGTCGATATCCAACGTACGAGAATGTCATCGTCTTCCCCACCCCAGCCCCAGAAGCGATTTGCAAATCCGTTCATTCTCACTACCTGGTCCGGTGTCTGTTTGGTAACGCCACCCATGAACACTGGAGACTCGGCACCCCACTTCCACTTGTCTGTCCTCGCTGCCATGTGCTGTGGCTGTGGTCCGCAACGATAGCTCAGCATGGGATCAACGGGTAAGTTGTCAACGTCGTGAAATGATAGACAAGTGTAGTTGCGCTCGGCCATAGCTTCGCGATATCCGATGTTGAATAAGGTTCCGCGGTTGAACGGGAGCTTGTCAACTTGATCAACAACGTAGACTGTGTGCGCCAACTTCTGTCTCTGCAGGTACGGGTGAATGTGCTGGAGAAAGATCAGCAAGTGCGCTTCACGGTTGCGAAATGGGATGACAATGGCCAGCGAATGCTCCACAGTACAGCCCTCCGGCTGCCACCAGCCGCCTTCCTTGATGCCGGTCATCTTGAGACGGGTTATCAGTGCATTTTCGTCAGGTACTGTGTTCAGGTCCGGCGTGAGTTGCGTGTTGGGCACTTCCTGTACAGCGCAGCAGCAGCTATTCTGAGCACACAAAACGTCAGCACAAAGTCTTGTAGGAGCTCTTTTCGGAGCTGAGGTCGTTGTTGCTTTTCTAGACGTTGGCCGTGTAGTTGGTGGTGCAGTTGCAACTCTGATAGTTACAGTCGTTATCGGGGCAGACGGCGCTACTGCAGACGTAGAGGTAGCTGGGGAAACATGAAGACCGGGTGCTACAAGAACTCTTCCAGCTTTGACAGGGAATTTGACGTCGATTCCAGCTGATGCAGCAGCTTGCGCTGCAATCTTCGTGGCTCCTTTCATCCAGGTTCGGATATGCCTTTCCACGCATCCCTTGCCACAGATCACTAATGATGAGTTACCCAGCTCAGCAAGCAGCAACACCTCCACTGTGACGACTCCCAGCGAGGCCGTGATAAGCACACTGAAAAGCAAACTTTTCGAATATCTCTTCATCGCCACCGGCTGCGCAATGGCGAAACCCGAATCTTCAAGATACAACTTCACCGGGAGCCGGAGAGGGATTGCAATCACACTAGCCCCATATTAGTAATTATCGCTCAGCGAATGCTGTAGAACGGGGTCCACGATTCGGGAGAGGTGTATCTGCTACGTGAAGTAGTTGCGATGCACAAACATACACGAATGGAGACCACCCTGCATTACTTCCAACGAATTCTATTTTACGAGTCGTAGGATGATCGTCATGCACCCGACAATGAAGAAAATCGAACGAAGGCTTCTTTCTAACGGCTCTGCATTCGCAGGGGCCAACAAGTAACTAATTACTTAGTTCACACTTCATGATGTGCAAGTGTGTTGGTTGGAGAGCGCCTGTACTGTTACAGGCAGGATGGCGGTGAAGGTGTGAAGAGAGGGAAGGGGCTTATGTTACTTTACAAATTATAAAAAATTCTTTTCCCTTTCTTGCTAGGGAATTCCCAACAAGCGGCATTGCCTGCTAGCAAGTATGGACAGAACGAACCAGATTGATGCTCGAAACTCAGCTGAATATGTATGATATGCAGTGTGCGAGCTGGTGGCGAGTGCATTCGTACAAGCCGACAGTCCATTACTTCAGAGAAAGCGCTGAAGCCAAATCGGTCGTTGGTAGATTTGACAGCAGCAGCAGCAACATGCAGACTTGGTCTGAGATAACATCAAGTGAACCACCCTCGTATGCTGGGTAATAAATTTAACAAAATATATAAAGTGACCACACACAGGCACGATATTTACCCCCGCTCTGCATCATGCCGCACAAATGCTGCTACCCGCGGTCAAGCTTCAGTCGCTCTGAACCTACCCAGAGCTACGTCTCGTTACGGCCTGAATGCTATTTTTTTTCATTTTTGGCAGCAGACATATGGAACATGCTTCCAGCTGGATGTCGTCAAGCTAAGCCCCTTTCTGCATTTGTCACAAGCACCAAGTCATTCCTAGGGTTCCCAGTAAAAAGGCAATGCCTGTTGGGAGTTCCCTGGTAAAAATAATAGATTCTACTACTACGTACATGCATAACTTACACGTAGGAAAGAACTGATCATGTCAGTGACAGTCACAGACTCCAGAGGCGGGTCACAGCTTCAATTATATTATTGAGCGTGATAAAACTGGCGTGTGAGCTCATGCAGACAGTGAAGTAAGTGCAGAGTAAAATAAAGCACTCACTCATTCAACCTCAGGCAAACTCGCGGACAGAAAAATCGCTATAATGTATGTAGAGCAATGTCCACCGCCATCTATGCTGTTGCCACTGGCTAAAGAAATTTGTAATTTTTATTGTTTAAGGATTCCCCAAAGGCGTTCGCCTATCGAGGGGGCTTCCAAACCCTCCATAATACCAAATCCGTAAAAGAAGTGATGAGCAATAGAAGAGTCACACGCACGCACACACATCGCCGCATTCATGATTGTCGTGAAACACACCTTTAAAATTGCTGATCTCTCTTCGGTGTCTACACAGTACAGAGATAGAAATTGGCAATCACAGTCTGCGTTGCCAAGTCGATCAGCTGCCGTTCAACCAGACCAAGCGCACACGCACAATGCTCATTATCATCCACAACGTAGACCGTTGTCTCATCAAGTACAATTATTCACCATTTAATACGTTAACCAAAACTGTTGGCAGGTTTCGGGAACTGCTTCTGGACAGGGTACTGGAGTTCAAAGCCGCAGACGTGACATACTCGAAAGTAGGGTCCAGCGGATAATGCCGGCATTATATTCGGCATTATACGACTATCCGAGCATCAGAGCATTATGGAGCATTAGAAAGGAACAAAACGAGCATTAAGTGATGTTTGAGCGGCATAACGAGTTTCATAGTGGATACTAATGGGAAATCCCAGGTTTTTGGCAGCAATCGGCTACAATCATGATCATGAGATGTTGTCTGATGATTGGTTTTTGCCATGAAACTCTGAGTAACAACGAAACAGCTCTATGTTACTCCTTTTGTGTACCTCTTGCGTACTACGCTCCTTCCATTCCGGGCACTTGAGCACTATGCATTGTACCGGCGCATGACTTTGTGATTGTGTAGACACGTAACACCTTTAGCACAAACGCTACATACTATTGCTACATTAAAACGTTATGATCGTAGCGATGTGGTCAGGTAAATGTATACAAGCAAGAGTCTATAACCTTGATACAAGCCATTTTGTGAAGCATGCCCAACCGACGCCGAGGCAGTTCAAGTGACACAAATCCGGAGAAATTATTTACGAGGTTTCTTTTACTTTTAGAATAATGGAGAGCTATGGAGAAGACATACGCGAAGTGCATATCAGACAGACGAAGAAGAGTTTTCTAGTTGTGCCAGAGGCTCTGGCGATAGCATCTCTAGCGATACTGAAGTAGACACTGATGCATTGCTAAATTTGGACCAGGATGAAGGAGCGGCTATGAACAGAAAGAGCTCGTTCCAAAAGAACTGCCTTTGCCGAGTCCAGCTCAGGAGGCTCGAAAAGAACTAGAATTTCTCATGGACTCAGTACCAATTCGATTGCTCAGCAGCGCCTGTCTTACTTTCCTGATGAAGCACGTACAGTTAGTTGTAGACGGTTGTAATGCCAGGCCTACAGTCAAATTCTATCAGAAATGAAGAGTATTGTGGCAAGCCATACGTCTACACACCGTCTCAAGGAGAAGATGAGAGCAAAAGCAAATGATGTAGAGTGGCAAAATAACTTCTGACCACGTGTTTTCAGGATTTCCGCAAATGGGAGGGCTCTCCATCTGAGATCGGGTCTCAGGAGCTGGCCCCACGTCTGGTGTTTCAGATGAAGACATTATTCACAGAGTGGACGCAGTGACAGCTTGTCTGCAGGCAGGAATACTATTTGCCAAGATAGGAGATAACTTCACCCCAACAATGAATGACTACCTGCAATAACGGTTTCATCTCTCACTACATGGATAATTAGGGGAAAGATTTGATACACCGACTATTCTGCCACAACCCTGCATCAAAGTTGGAATGGAGAGCAATAAATGGAGAAGCGATCATGTCTTATAGTGCTAAGAAGTGGTGGAGCTCGTGAGAGATAAGGTGGCAACTTCAGATGCAGATCGACGATATACATAATTTCCTGGAAATTTGACAATGTGCAGACTTTCTTCCATTTCTGTCCCAAACCAAGAGCATTGTATCCCTTGCTGAAGCATTATAATCAGCATTATAAGGCAGTTTTTGGAGCATTATGGTTAGCATTATACGAACATTTTCGGAGCATTAACCGCTGGACCCTACTCGAAAGCAGACGCAACATGGGGAGAGTTTGTGTCCACATTCCACTCAGCAGCCAAACAGTCTTTTGGAGTAAGACCGTCTGGACGGAAGGCAGTTAGAAGTATCAACCCTATTGTGTCCAAGCTTTCCAAGCAGCAGAAGGAATAGCACAAATTCACGCTACAACAGACATCGCTAAGTGGTCGTTTGTGCAAACTCAAAGATCGAAATTTCTCCATGAAATGCTTCACACTCTCATATAATATTGACTGGTTTGAGGGAAAGAGACAAACGGGAAAAGTCTGAAGAAAAAATTGACTGTCACCACCAGGACACGAACCAGGGACCCTCGCTTGTAGCCAGCGATGCTCTAACCACTGAGCTATGGTGTAGTCGTCGCGGACTCTCATATAAATAAATATTATAATATCAAGAGTGCATAAACAACTGTTTATGGGCTCTTGGTAATATTTCTTTCCTTTCTTCGTCTTTTTGTGAGAGCTTGGACAATCCACTTGTCCAGGCAAGAAGGCAGCAATGCCTGTTCATTCTGGCCAAGTAAAATATAATAACTATACCAAGCAATCAACAAACCAAATGCGCTCCATGCTACGTAGGGAAGACAACCTCCTTTGGCAAAAGCGGGCAATGGACGCCGACGGGCTTAGGCCTGACCTAAGGTCTTACTTCCAGGCAATTAGCAACTTACATAAACTGAGAGTGGGCGAAAACGAAGGATGCAGATAATAAGATGACATGACAATTCATGATACTGATCGTGAAGCTGTGGTGGCCGCTGCAGCGAAATGTTAGCCAATCTTCGCCCAGGATGCCCTGAGATTAAATTTAACAAAAACTCAATTCGTAACTCCTTCAAAGGATGATGACGCATGGAGAAAGACGAAACTACGTACTCGTACTCGGCAGTCTTTTGGGATCCGGAAGTGACATCGAGAACCGTATCAATGCCGCTAACCGCGCGTTTGGCACTACAGCGTGGAAGAGACACACTTTATTTCTAGAATGCATTATGTTGTACCACACTTATCCTTCTGGTTCTCAGTAGTATAACTGTGGTCTGTTCTAGGCATTGGAGGATAATGCTCGAAAAGCAGTGAAATTGGCAGAACCATACAAACCTTATGGCGTGCAATTCCTCGAATTCTGCTCCATTTTTTTTATCCACACACCAAACATGCATGAAACTTACCAGAAAAAGTACCGAATTCTGCCAATTTTTCTGCCGGCATTATCCGCATATGCCTAGTCTGTGGACCATGATAGGCAGCAAGCTCGACACAGTCATGGCATCGCCGAAAACTACGATCCATTCTTGGCATAGTTTATCCCCAAAGAATATCGAATAAAAGCCTGTACGAGCCAACTGTCCAACCAAGTGTGCCAATCACCACATCATGCAGGGAAAGGCGCGTGTTATGGTTCGGCCATGTGATCACAGAAGGCATCGACTGAACATCCTACAAAGCTCTCCGACTTTCTATCGACACCAAAGACATCAAAGTAGCCCAGAGGACGCCCCGTAACCAGATGGATCGACAACATCACTGAGAATGATTTTGAAGAAAAAAACATTTCCATTGCCGAAGCAGCAGAAGCTATTTCCCAAGGCAAGACATGGAAGATTGGCTCGGCATTGTTAAATCAATGTACTCAGTTATCATTATTATTATTATTATTATTATCAAATTTTTGATAGGGCAATCCCCACAGGCCTAAGGCCTTCTTACAGGGTACCCATGCAAAAAGAAATATCTGCGCTAACTCAACATCATTTTCATGGTAAACGAGATAGCTTGGAAGCTCAGGGCCCTACGCTATGCTTTTTTGCCTTGATGACCTAGACAAAAAAAGCATAGAGATCTTATTTATTCTTCTAGATTTCTCCTTCTTTTTTCAGGCATAACCTGGGATTCGAACCCGCACTATCGCCATCCATTCCCCCATACACTT